ATGATCATGAGAGTTATAGACTTTTATTGCGTACAAGTTTCATTTTCATTATGGTTTTTGTTTATTCCGTTTACTCAACAAACGAGGTTATTTATAATTAACATACACCGGTAAGGTCATTGTTAAATATCTGTTGAATCCAACAAGCAACCTAGCTATATGTGATCTGAAGTCGTGGGCTTAGGTTTCTAATTTATTGGACGAGCAATGCTACATTTTTCGCAATTTGGACAAAAATGGTGTAACCAAATGGTTTATTGGTCTCTGGTGGCAGTTTGTTGATGTGATGACATTAATTGCTTGTCGCATAAGTCAAGCTTAAGGAACCGAGTGACCTAGGGGTGCGACCCTACATCATATGGCCTGTCTAACGGGTTTATCTATGAATTAGGCATATTTTAGTGGTTATGTTATTCACTTTAAAATCTTTCTTCCAATAAATGTACCAACAATAGTTGTAGTCGTTTCTCACCATTGAACATGTAATCTTCACTATTATAAGCACCAAATCCATAGTGGACGAGTTTTCGGTGTAATCATAGTTTGTGTTGTTCCATTATATTGGGTTTTTGATGATACAATTTGGGTTTCTTTCTCTGAATCTGATAATTTACTTTCTTTACTGATTGATATGCTTATTTAATTGGTGTTTGGATTTCGCTTAGTAGATATTACCATTTGCGTTATCAATTTATTTTCACATTAAACCAATCTTAGAGTTATGTTTTGATAATGATTGTGGGAATCAATTTTTAGTTTGATTTTTTGAACTAAAACTTCAATATCGAATTGATTGTTGGTTGATTTGTGATCATACCATAAGTAGGTCAAAGCTTGGGTTGTAATAACAATTGTCAAGTAGTTTATATTTTGATAGCTATCAAACTACACCATTGATTAACTAGTTTCGGCAACTATATTTATCAGTAAAATGATTGTCGATACAGTTATCGACATAAAAGTCCTATACAAATAGAATTTTTGACATTTGTTCAATGACATTCAGTTAATTAAGTTTGATGATAGCTTTCCTTCTTGGCTTATGATCCCATTGTCATATATTTAGGTATTAAGCCTCAAAGGTTATGATTTTAGGTGATAGCAACATCAAAAAAAAAAAGTCCGAATTTTTCGCAGAAGCTGGCCCAAAATATTTAATCATAGGCCAAAGAACTTTTGAACGATTCAACTTGGCCACTGAAGAAGGCGATGGTTGGACGAGAGACTAGGCATATATATATTGCTTTGTTGTGGTATTGAAGATTGATTATGGTCATGGTTATCCGTTTTCTGTCTTTCATTTTTTTTTACTTAAAAAATAAAGACAGTAAATGATCGAATTTAAAAAAAAAGTTAGGTCAATAAAGAAACCACGTATAATGGCCTTTTGAACGACCCTACAAGGTTGCTGACAACTCTCACATTATAACTTTGCAAAATTTGAATATCATATTTTGATATATATATATATATATATATATTTAGAATATATTTTAATTTTCAAAGAAGATGATAAAAATGGGAGTTGGTGAGTTTTGGCCGTTTTTGTTTTTTGAGATAACAGAAGGGTATAGTTGGGAATTCAAAAATAGAATCAGACAACTTTGACCCTATCAAATCCCCCTACCTAGTTTCAAAGGACTTCTCCTACCATAGGAATATCTCAATGCTAAACCATGCTCTATCCATTAAATAATACTATAAAAATCAATAAAAATACCTAGTCATGATTGCTGCGATCAGTAGCTATCTATATTATATTATAAAATATTCAATATTACTACATACATACATACATACATATACATGAGAATTAATTAGTTTGTGGTAACTGTGAGTTTTAATATAAGTCAACAATTTTATTATATTAATTGTATTACTTTAATTAATAAAAAGGGTGTATTAGTAATTTTAAAAAATTGACAATTCGTTCTAAAACCTAGGCCGATTCGATCCCTTGTTGCTTCCCTATCACTCTTAGGGATGGCAAAAAAAACCGAAACCGACGGTGAAAACCGAAAACCGAAACTTTCGGGCCGGGTTCGGGGACATTTTATCGGGGACGGGACGGGGATTGGGGACGAATTCGGGGATTTTAACGGGGACGGGGACGGTGATCACCGGCCCGGCCCGGCCCGATATGTATATGTTTATATATTTATTTTAATTTATATATATATATATATATATATATAAAAATATAATATCTTTAAAAAAAGTAACATTAAAATTTAAAAAAAAATTATCCACTTTACCTCAACAACCCAAATAAAGCTCACGAAAAGTCTAGTTTATTTGTCAAAAACCGTGATTTTAGTTGTATGATGTTCGAATTTTTGTTTAGTTTTATATTGTAATCTAATACATTGTTTGTAATTGGTTCAATTATGTTTGAGACATTTAAACTTAGATCTTTAAAAAAATTGTAATTTACTTTTAATTGTAAAAATTAACATATTGTAATTTATTTCATATCGGTTTCGGGGTTTGGGTTCGGTTATAACCAACGATGAAAAAGAGAATTTTCACCCTTAACGGGTTCCCCAACGGGGATCGGGGAAACTGCGGGGACCCGATGGGGATCCCCGATAAGATCCCCGATGGGGATCCCCGATAAGATCCCCGACGGGGATCGGGACGGTTACGGGGACGGTTTTAGCTATCGGTTTCGGGGACGGGGATACCAATACCCGGCCCGAACCCGGCCCGAACCCGGCCCGTTACCATTCCTAATCACTCTCGCCGTCCGCAACTCCGATCTCCGGCGTTGGTCCTGATTACTCTCCTCCGCCACCATTACAGTTTCCTTTCCCCTCCGTCACCGTTCCTAATGCATCTAATCCATCCCATTATACCTTCAATTTCGACACACCACCAACACCACCATCTGCATCACTTACTGATCTATCATCGCCGCCGCCGCTGCTCCTCTTCCAGTGTTTGTAGTCACTTCTCCTGCTACAGCTACGTCGACTCCTCAACTTGCATTTAGTCCACCGAGTCCAGTTCCTCCTTCAGGTCTTATAACTTCTTAATTTAATTGTCTCCATTTTCATATGAATTATTCATTTATTTTAATTTTAGATTAGATTTGCAGAAATGTTTCATTGATTTTGATGATGGAAATCTGTTTTCTCTTGCTTAATTTAATGACTTGATATTGAAAATTGTTTCATCTCCAAGAAGGAGCCGACATCCAATCGAGATCTTGAACAAATCCAGATCTCCATCTCCATCGAAATCGGATCCGAAAACATCCAAATATCAAAGGTTTGCATCTCTCCATCTCCATTGAGATTAGATCTAAGAACATCCAGATATTAAAGGTCTGCATCAAAGAAAATTTTCAAAAAATACAGATCTGAAAAATCGTAGATTCTACATGAAAGTCTGCAATGTTTCTTTTTGGTAAAATCATTGGCTAGAAATCAAAGATTTTGTGTATTAAGGTTTAGTATCACAGTGGTAATATAGTTGGTGTTAGTGGTATCACAGTGGTACCACATTGGGTAGCACAATGCATCTTGTATGTATTTTGGGTATCACAACGTAGATCGTCTGTATGTATCTTTTAAATTTAGATCATGGATTTGATTTGTTTTTAAGGTATGGGTTGGTATCACAATGGTTATCACATTGTGTATCTTTGTGATTATTTGGTACCGGCCGGAATAATGTTCACCGGAAGCCAGAAATCCGAGGTCGGAGAGAGGAGTTTTTATAATTACCTAAAATGCACTATAATTATTTTAACTCAAATTACCATAATTACTAATTTTCTAATTTATCTGTTGATTTGTGGTTGAAATTGAATCTCATAGTTATAACAAACTAATTAGTTATCCCTTGAATGAGCCCATATATATCTATACTACCTTATAAACCAAATTAACCGAAAGTTTTAAAAACAATTTTAATGCAAAAAATATTATACATTTATGCACAAAGTCTTAAAAGTCATAAAACAACTTATAATGCATTAAGTACTACTACCTTATGCATTCAATCTCTTAATCTACAATTAAAATAACATATAGTACAAGTTACCAGTGCACATTATTACCTTTTTCTTTTCATGTTCCCAAGATATTTTTGACACATTTCACTCATGTCTTCACCCTCTTATACCTCTATGTCTTCTTCCCATCCCCCAAGGTGAGATTCAAACTGATATTCACCATTAGTTATTAAAAGTTCTCTCATTCATCTCACATTCAATTGCTCTAGAACTCTCGGTCTCACTCTCGATCTCTTGATTCTTTGCTCTTGCTGTAAATCGAACACATTTGTGGAGTCGTTTAAATATGTTGAATTTTAAATATATTGGATTTTAAACTGTTATACAATTTTTTTCATCGATAGACTGCAATTGGAACCATAACTCTTATTTATTCAAATTGCATTAATATGTAAAGACCAAGTGTAACTCATATCATCGTTAAATCTTTTCTAATAAAACCAGTAAAACTTTAAAATCGTTAAAATTCACAGCTCCTGTATTGTTTCACAACATTTTTTTTTTTTTTCAGTATTAGAAGTTAATTTATTGTTTTGCATATATTAATTTCACATATACATGTTTCACAATATAAAATTCTTTTACATATACATTATATTCCACAACATGGATATAAAAAAAACTTCATATGTATTTTTTACAATATATAAGCATATAAACACGAAACAATATTATAAATCCCAACTTTCAATTAAAAAATCATTTAAAAATATTTCAAAATCCGTTCACACAAGTTTATAAAAAGTTCGATTCTCAAGATAACCTCCCATGAAAATGATTTTTGAGGACAAACGGACTAGGTCACCAACCATCATCCACCACTGCTAGCCCAACAAAAAATCCGCAAATAGGGATAAAGGGCATTAATGTAAATTTGGCAAATGTCACTGCAAAGACTCCTGTCATATTCCAAGTGTACATCTAAAGCAAACCAGCTCTCTTTTTCCATTATAAATAGATGGAAGATGGATAGATGATCACCAACCAACCTTAATTTCATCTACACACCTTTAAGACACATTCTTCAGTTTCATCAGTCCATCCTCCCATGGCTGATTCATCAACCAACACCATCTTCCTCTTGTTAACCACTCTAATATTCACCACCTCATGTACCTTCTATGTTAATGGATGCTATACGTCCATCATCAGCTTCGGCGACTCACTCGCCGACACCGGAAACATGAAAGCACTCTCCCCTAAATCCAACGGCCAAGCACCCCATTTCTTGTTTCCACCCTATGGAGAAACGTTTTTTCATAAACCTACTGGTCGTTGCTCTAATGGACGTCTTATTATCGACTTTATTGGTAATGCAGATGAACTGTTGATCGGAATTTTTGTGAGGTTTTTTTTTACGGTGACTGAATTCGTTTCTGTTGTTTGTTTATGAAGCTGAGAGTCTTGGACTGCCGTTGATACCGGCGTCTGAGGCCGGGAAGACGACGGAGTTGGCACAAGGAGTGAATTATGCGGTGGCGGGTGCGACGGCGTTGGATTCGTCGTTTCATGAAGCAAGAGGGGTTTATAATCCGATGACGAATGCATCTTTAAGGGTTCAGTTGGGGTGGTTCAAAGAATCATTGCCGTCTTTTTGTTCCACTGTTTCAGGTAAATTGGTCAAACCAACCTGCACCTTAATTAAATTAATATTATTAAGAAAAAGTCACTTCGTAAATAACGGCGAATAATTTTTTTATTTAATAATAATATTATTTTTCCTTGGTGGTTTTTAATAATATTGCTGTTTCTAAAAAAAAATATTATTTTTGTTAATAATAATTTCTATTTAAATTTATATAATTAAGAGTACTTATCACTGTAAATATTTTTTGGCTGATTAAAAGTTGAACAATTATCAATTTTAAAAATAAAGTAATTAATTCTTTTTTTCTCCATAATCGAGATTATGTTTATTTAATAATTGTTTCTTTTCTTAATCTTTAATTACTAAGTTTATTTTCGTGATATGTCAATGTATTATATTCTATTTTTGGACGAAGAGCGTCCGTCTTTTTCGTCTTTATTATAGTAAATTACATTTTTTTCATTTCTATGATTTGTTAAAAACTGTGATATTTGTCTCTGTGACTTATAAATTGCAGATTTCATGTTTATAGTTTTCGTCCCTAAACTAGCTGTTACATATTTAAGTATAAGAGACCAAAATAGTGGAGAATTGCAAATCACAAGGACTGAAACAACAATAAATTATAAATAATGAAAATGAAAATAGAATGATTTACAAACTATAGGGACAAGAATAGCAATATCTAAACCACAAGGACTAAAATCACAATTTTTAACAAACCATACGGATGAAAAATGTAATTTACTATTAATCATATATATGTTAATTAATTATAGAGTGAATTACACTAGTATTCATGTTCAAATTTTGGATTTGTTCCATAAAACAAACTATCTACACGAATGTTCTCTGATTTCTCAATTTCATAATACTCAAGTTCTCTAAAGTTAACAACGTTCCCGAAAAAAATAATTATGTTTTAAAAGTTAAATATTATAAGACATTATTAAATTGAATTATCAAATTATTTCGAATAAACTACAACAATTAAACTAATGTCATAATCAAAATATTTTCTTTTCGTTAATTGTACTTCAAATACTTTTTATAAAGATTTTTTTCAAAAGAACATGTGAATCAAAATAAATTTTTGAGTGAATTGCATTATTGATCCTTGTAGTTTGTCCAAAGATTGATTTGTCCATATTAACAATTGCTCGTTGATGGTGTTAACTTTAAGAACTTTGAATGTTATGAAATTGAAAAGTTTTTTTTTATTAATCTGGATATCCAACCCACTATGCTAGCCGACTAATCTCAGGATGACCATCTGTTTTGCAAATAGCCCGGAGTTATCGCATTTGAACCTCCGTTGCTACAAGGGGATTTTTATTCCTTCTTGAATTTGAACCTGGGACCTCCTGGTACTTTTGATATTTGGAATCAAGCTCAAACCAATCAGGCACCACCCTTGTAATTTGAAATTGAAAAGTTAGGGACCACAAATGTAGATAGTCTAATTTAAAAGGAAAATACAAAATTTAATTTAATAAAAATATATCCTGGGTCAAAAGATGAAATTAAAATAAAAGAGTAAAATAAATCTCTTTCAAGAAGTGAAAAGCTTAGTCGTAGTCTCGTAGACCACTTGTCATGAAGTCTAGCTTTAAATATTTTAGTGTTAAAAATCATATGTAAAAAAGTTATCTTTAAAAATAAGATAATTCAGTAATTATTTATATAAATAGGTGTTTAAAATTGCTTATTTGAAATAATTTATATTTTTTTATAAAAGTCTTTATCAACTTATTATAAGTCATAATGATTTAACTTCTTTAAAAACTCCTTATTACTGGTTTGATATCGGTATAAATTGTTTATCCAAACACTCAAAAATGCTTATTACCAGTGTCATACTGAAATAAGTCAACAAGTTATTTTTATAAACAATCATAAACACCCCAAAATATGAGAGATGGTATGTCATGATCGTGATCAATATTCATGGTTAAATTCCGATTAGTATATTTTAGTTGATCCAAAAAAGTATTTCTGATCTATCATATATATATAAACTCTATTCATATTCCATAAATATTCAAATCATAATAAATAAACTTCAATCATTTCTATAAATATCTCAATTAATTGGGTTACAAAGGTTGTACAAATGCACAAGGTTGTAAAAGAAATATACCCTATATATATATATATATAACTTGAAATTAGTTAGCTTGAATATATAAAGTAATTTTCAATAAAAAAGAAATAAATAAATCATATACACCCCTTTTAGTACTTTATATTTCCTATAGCTTTAATAATTGACATATATTTAATTTTTTAAAGAAATTGCTATTTTTCCTGTAATATTATAATCGAAAAGATAGTGGTACAATTTTCACGTCCCCCCAAAATATCCCAATTTATATGTCTCTTTTCTTATAAAATATATCGAAAATTTTAATTTTTTGATGTAAAAACTGCTACTGCTGTTGTAAAATAAATATTTGTAATGAAAACTATATTATATAATTTTATATTTTTTAAATAATTAAATAACATTTTTATCTTTGATAGTAAAATATAGTTCATCTTATTCTTTTGAAAAAAGACACTTATTTTAAGATAAATTAAAATAATGATGCGTAATTTGAAACAGAAGAAATACTATATTTATGTTTTTATTTGAAAATAAAACACACACATACACACACACACACATATATATATATATATATATATATATATGCAAATATAAAATTGTAAAATGCATTTTATCAAATACAAAAGTCTAATTCTCCATTTGTAGTATATAATTATTTAATTAAATTAAAACAATTGATGAATCCCTATCTTATCCTATTATTTGGTATTTTCTTCACAATAAGAGAGTGATTGATACCTTGGAAGTTGCTTAACTTCCAATTTTAATTTTAACTTTAACTTTAGAGTAAACTACAAATTTAGTCATTTGTGGTTTGTGAAAATGTCACTTTTCATCCCTGTAGTTTTAAAATAAATGTATTATCGTGGTTTGCAAAAATGTCTGATTTTGTCCCTTTTTTTAATAGCGGTTAAAGAATTCCGTTAAATGAGATGATTTTTCATCCTTTTTCGATTTTTTGTCCTTTACCCAATCAAAATCGACTTTTATAGTTTTTGTTTGAATAGAAGACAAAAATAGATAAAGGATGAAAATGACCCCATTTAAAGAAATTTCTTTAACAACTATTAGAGAAAGAAAGCAAATTCGAACATTTTTTACGAATCACGATAACTATCTTGTAATTTCAAAATTATAGGAGACGAAAAACGTTACGGATCCCAAGTTCATTGCTTACTCTTATTTTAATTAAAAGAAATACAATAAAGAATTTAATAAATTATAAGACAACAAATTCCATTTATTCCAACCATAATATCCAATTTTCCATAGTTGTCCTTGTCAGTCCATTTCCCAAATCATAGTTAAGTATCTAAATGCACCATTATGCATTGCTTAATACATCCCTATTTATGAAATTTTCCCTCACATACATCAACATCAATACATGTTTTTTACATTCTCAATGCTTGAATGACCCGATTCTGACATGAAAGAGGATGCCATTAGCACTCCCCTTAATTTTGGAAACACTACAAAAATGTCCAAGCATTTTAATGAATTTTAAATTTTTAAAATTGATATTATGTAAATATTTTATAAATTGTTGGTGGTGACATGACTCCCCAACCACTTTCTCCAACTGGGAGTGCTATCTTTAACTGGGTTTTTGAAAGCCACACATACCTTCACTCGTCAACATGTGCGGTCCGAAGATGGTGACTCTTATGTCAATAGATGGCCCATCCCATCGCCCCCTACATATACATATATAAACTACTATCTCGTGGTCTAATTATAGCACCAATTATATAACAATTAATAAGCCTCAAATTAAGTTGGAGCTTTTATTTCAAAATAAATAAATCACATTAGAAAATGAGTAAATCAACGTGTGTGATTATGTTTTGATAAATGTAGAATGATTTATTGTAGATTGTAAACGTTTAATCGGGCGATCCTTGGTTCTCATGGGAGAGATTGGAGGAAATGATTACAATCATGCATTAGTTGCGGGAAAATCTATCGACGAGATTGAGACATATGTTCCATTGGTTATCAAGGCAATCGTCTCAGTAATCAATGTAAGAATATACATGACATACACACATACATATATGTGTATATATATGTGTGTGTGTGTGTATGTATGTACGTTTATTTAATTCTTGTCATATTGATGTACAATTGTGAATATGCGAATTTGTTTGATGATGGTTTAACCTTGGGGTTATGTTGGAAAATGCAGGAACTTATTGAGCTAGGGGCTGAGACACTTGTTGTACCAGGAAACCTACCAATTGGATGCTCTGCTGCGTATTTGACAATATTCTATGACTCGGACAAGGTGCAATATGATAATTCAACAGGATGTATCATCCGGTTGAACAGGTTTGCGGAGTACCACAATGAACTTCTCCAAACAGAACTAACTCAAATAAGAGAAGTTCATCCTGAAGTTAATATCATTTACGCCGACTACTACAATGCTGCCATGCAATTTTTTCGCTCTCCAAACAAATATGGTACACAGTTGCTCTTTTAAGATATGCAACCATCTCTTTTGAAACAATAACATTACAACTTGTAATGTTATAAGCTTTGAGAATGATTGGTGCAAACCTGGGATGTAATACTTACTTACATGGTCATGCCAAATGCTTACAAGACTTTTATATATTATAGGGTTTACTAACGGAGCTCTAAAGGCATGTTGTGGAGGTGGAGGGCCATTTAATTACAACCCATCGATAGCATGTGCAGACCCATCTTCAAATTCATGTGCTCAACCAGATACATATTTTAACTGGGATGGATTGCACTTAACAGAAGCAGCATATAGATTGGTCTTCAAGAGCTTATTTGAAGGGTCGTATACTACACCGCGATTCAACTCCTTGTGCCCTATTTCAAGGTCACAACCGGTTGGAGGGCTATCAAGTTCTATATGAATAAGTGAAACGTTTTATGAATTCCTACCCAAGTGTTTAAGTACAAGTAATTAAACTTGGGAAAGGGGATGTTTTGTAATCAATTAAAGCATTATATGGTTTTGTGTTATCCAATGTACATATAAACCAATGTACTTCTACATAGTTTATTTTATTTTTTATTTTATATCAACTTATTTTCTATAGAAATTTAGAGGCATATGAAAAGAAAATGTTGACCTAACCAGGTGTCGTATTATTGATGAGAACAACCGAACACGTTGCATTACTAACGAGAACAATTGAACACACGAGATATAACGAACATAGAACATGGTACCATATGGAAATAGGAATACATTATATGACCCATATGCAAACTTATCGTCGTTATATATTTTTAAACTAGGAAAACAATTTTTTTTGTGTTGTCTATCTGATAATGTATCTATAATAATTTATTATCAGATCTCTTAGTACGTAGACTTTATGATTTTTAGGTTATGACGACGAGATCCAATTACTCTATTGTTAAATTATTGTGACATTTTTCTAGTTTTACCCTGTTAGCCTTCATCTCCATGAGAAATGGGGATTAGTATAGATCAATATCTTGTCAAATGAAAGAGATAGTCCATGGTAAGTCAAAAAATGTAAAATCATAGGAAGTACATAGTTATTATGGAGTCGTCTACCAAACACTTACTTGATAATTAACCACTTACCAAGTCATTTACCTTATCGGATGAGCATGACAAGTGTAACAACACCAACGTTCTTACCATGAAAGTGAGGAAAAAGATTATTAACTCATTATTGCTTATTGGATAAGAGTCGTTTGCCAACGATCCATTTGATGACCTAGAATGTTACCCCATAAAATAAAGAGGATGAGGACTCTTTTCGACAACCGTTTATCTAATAAGTGTTTAATAAACGGTACCTATTTTTATAGAATAACTAAGGAGAGAAAATGTAAAAATAGGTGAGTCAGACAACTTCAATGTCATTATGGCTAGTTTATGGTACTCATGTAAGATAATAATGTCCTAGCTATAAATGCAAATGTACGGAAACCATGGTGAATAGTAGTTAATGATAGAGTGTGACATATCAAGTAAACAAGTTAATTAGGCTGTTGAAAAGAAATCTGTTAGATGGATGAAGCCGGTCAAACCAAGTTAAACTGGACCGTTTTTAGTGGTTTGAGCAGTCTAATAGTCCGGTTCAGTCAGAACATTTGCAAACCACTAGCTTTGGTCAGGTCAGTGGTTTGAGCATTTTTTAAAGTGATTTGGATCGAACCGACCACCAAAAATACACATGTATTAATTATATTTCGTTTTCATGTTGTAGGTTTAACTTTTATGGACTAAATAAAAAAAGTTCGTTCAAAACATTATGTTTTAGTTTCCATTACTCAATTGACTGCTTTATATAATTGGTAACATTCCGAAATTCGTCAAAAATCAAATTCAACATTCCAAATCATCGAACAACTTGCTCTATGTTTATTAAAACTTCAATTATTGTTGGTGGACATGTTTACTTTATTTCAATTTGATCAATGTTTTTTTTTATTTTAGAGATAGACCTTTTTTTTTTGTAATTTTGTAAACTATTTTTTATTTTTAATAATTTATATTTGTATAAAATTCATTTTGAATATAAATGTTATGTTTTTTAGTTCAAAAGTCGTAAAAGGCTCAAATCACCTAAACTGGTTAGATCAGATCGACCATTTGGGGTCCGACTTGACCGATTTGGTCACTTGCTGCCAAACCGCTTAGTTTGGAAAATTCCATAAACCGCCATTACAGTCTGGTTTGTAGTTTGGAGGGTTAAACCTCCCAAATCGAACTGTGAATACCCCTAAAATTAACTTCAAGTAGTTAGAAAATTTTGAAATCAACTATATACAAGGTGCAATATTACAAGTAGCCTTTTTTATTTTATAATCAGGTCAAATCATATTATTGAGAATGTAAAAAGTAAGTTTTGATGTTGATATGTGTGAGAAAAAATTAGTTAATAGGGATGCATTTAGTCCACCCCTTAACCTACCCCATATATGATGGAAATGTTATTCAGGTTCCTTGTATAAACGAACTCTCCACATATCTTGTTCATTTTGTCTTTAAAAATAGGAGGCTTATACGTTCATCTGTTGGAAAATATGAGAGTTGGACTAATTAATCGAGATACTAAAAGTATATCTACACAATGACTCAGTGCGTGCTATACATCTCGATTCTAAATCCAAAAACTCGAACTCTTAATCTTAATTTTACTACAGATTCTTTAATCGTTGATATATGTTTTTATATGGCTTTAAGAGAGCAAGAGACTGTTAGGTCAGTTATCAATTTTGTAGATTACGTTGTTATATTAGTACAACTCAACGTCTATTTTTTATTTGAATATGCTTATTAATTAGTTTTTTGAAGTTATTTAACGTTGAGTTTAAAAAGTTTTATGTATATAATAGTAAGCTCTGAACCCGAGTTTTAAAAGATTTTAATAAGATGAGGTATATGTTTATAATATAGTAAAGATATCTACATAAATATACTTGCATACCGGACGAAAAACCTGCTAAAAACTTTGAAAATTTATATATCAATATGGTTATTAAACTAAATAGAATAAAAATAAATCTTTTTTATATAATTTATTTAATTGAAAATTTAGATTAAAAAAATGAGGTATAACAAATTAGACGGATTTTCAAAACTTGATTCGTTCATTTGAGAAAGGTAATACGAGTTTCATAAAATTCTTCAAGTTTCTATTTTTATTATTTACGAAGAAAAATAGTAATATTATAAAATTTGAAAAATATTTGCTTGTTGTAGAACAAATAATATAGAGAATCGGGAAATCAGTTCTATTTTCATTAATCATAAGCCCTTTAAATATGGATGAGTTACAAAGAGATAACCATAAGATACATAATAGTAATCTAACTCTAATATGTTTATCACTATCTCTATAAATCTCTATCTCTAAGCTTTATCTTTATCTTTATCATTATTATCATATACTTTAGACGATGACAGACTTATCCTTCAACACTCCCCCTTGTGCCAAGTCAAAGTAGTGATGGTACACTATTGTTGTCTCACTAAAACCTTACGTCAAAATAAAAAACCAGTGGGAAAAATTAAAAATAGGACGAAGGAAAGAGTACAACGTACCTGTTTATAGACTATTCCTTTAGTCTAGTATTCCCTCATATTGGTACATCAATCAAATGAGTAAAGAAAACAAGATGATATTTAAATGGTTGCCTCACTAAAACCTTACACCAAGGAACAAAACCCATTGGGAAAAATAGAACATTGGGTGAAGGAAAGAGCACAACATACCAATATCATATGTATAGTAGATCCCCCCTTTCGTCTACTACTCCCCCTGATACGTATGTTAATCATGGGAGTTTTGAAAGCCTCCGTATTCCAGTGCTTTCCACATGTTTCTCAAATATGGCCTTAGGTAGTGATTTGGTAAACAAATCAGCCATATTATTCTCAGACCTTACTTGTTTCACTTGAATCTTAAAGAGAGTCTATTGTTGCTGATTATAGAAAAACTTCGGCCATATATGCTTTATATTATCTCCCTTGATATACCCCACTTTCATTTGTTCAATTCAAGCTGTATTATCTTCATATACGCATGTGGGATTTTGAATGGTTAAACTTAAAGCACTAGCTCCTCTTAAATGTGCAATGACAGACCTTAGCCATATACACTCTCGAATCGACCTAAGGGCAATAATCTATGAATGGTTAGAGGAGAGGTAGCTACAAGGGTTTGCTTGGTAGATTTTCCTAGAAATCGTCATGTTCCCAATTGTAAAAACATATATTGTTTGGGAACGACCTTTATGTAGGTCAGAGAGATACCCAGCGTCAGCAAAACCTACTAATATATCATTCGAGGTTTCACTATAGGGGATAACGTTTTATTTGTTAATATCTTTAACAGGTATTATAACCCCATTTTTCTCTTTGTAGGGAAAGAATAAACCCATGTCGATGATTCCTTTTAGGTATCAAAATATATTCTTGATACCATTCCAATGACGTTGCATTGGCGCTAGCTCATATGTTCACTGAGAATGCAATATCTGGTCGAGTACATTGTGCTAAGTACAATAATGTGCCTATTGCACTTAGATAGGGAATTTCAGCTCCCAACACCTCTTCGTCATCATCCTTTGGACGAAAATGGATCTTTCCTTATATCCAAGCTTTGACCGATCATGGGAGAGCTAGCCGGATGCGCTTTATCTATATAAAATCGCCTGAGCATTTTCTGGATATAAGCGGACTGGTGGATAAGGATTCCACAAGCTCGATGTTCTAGTTCTATACCTAGATAAAATCGAGTTTTCCCAAGATCTTTCATCTCAAATTCAGATTTTAAATGGCTTGCAATATCTCTTATTTCATCAAGTATACCTATTATGTTCATGTCATCAACATATACAACTATGATTGAAAATCCAAAACTTGTATTCTTTATAAAAATGCAAGGGCACAGTTCGTCGTTCTTATATCCCTTCCCAATTAAGTATTCACTCATACGGGTATACCACATCCGTCTGGATTGTTTTAATCCATAGAGTGAGTGTCTAAGTTTAATTGAAAACGCAATCCATGGTTTAGAGTTACTTGAATTGGGTAGTGGAAGGCCGTTAGGAACTTTCATGTATATCTTTGAACCAAGATCCCCATAGAGATATGCAGTAACTACATCCATAAGCTAGATTTCTAATCCTTCGGAAACTACTAGGATAATTAGATAGCGAAATGTTATTACGTCCATTACTAGGGAGTATGTTTCCCCATAGTCAATTGCAGGGCGTTGTGAGAACCCTTTGTTTGCTGCACTAACTCAGACTCAACTAACTGTTTCTCACCTATCTCATTCCAACACAAAGGAGTTCGATATTTTCGTCAATACAGAACCTCAAATGGTGTAGCTTAAATACTCGAATGATAACTGTTATTGTAAGCGAATTCTACCAAAGCCAAATGATTATCCCATGATCCCCCAAAATCAATATAAGCTCTAAGCATATCTTCTAGTGTCTGGATAGTTCATTCACTTTGTCCATTCGTTTGAGAATGATAAGTTGTACTTAACTTAATCTGTGATCCCATCTCTCTTTGAGAACTCTTCAAA